AAACGTCGATTATTGTCGAAGTTTGATTATTCAAATGAACATTATTTGAATATAGAATGAATACGTATTTAATAATGTTTAAATTTTAAAACATGTATATTGGAACAATATTTAAGAAAATAATTAGATAAATGCAATTGAAAATCATAAGTAAATTTGATGTTTGAATAAAATTTCTAATATTGAAAGTTAAAAAAATTCTGAATAATTTATCTATGTAGAAGCAATAGAAGAGTATCCAATATTAAAGCAATATGTTACATGATATCTTATATAGAGCGATTTCTTTTTCAGCACCTCAATTTTTCCAAATATAATAGCAATTTATCAAAAAAATCATGAGAAACTTTTACATATTTTATAAACCTAAATAATAAAATTACTAATATTTTACAAATATTAAATAGTTTAAATAGTATATTTTAAATAACACAACATACTTTTTATTATATTACTTAATTTTTATTATATTACTTAAATGTTTGATTTCATTTTAGCTATATATTATCCATAAGTTATGAACTCTTTTTTTTCACTTTATATAAAAATTCTACGTGTACTACTTTATAATCATTCCATATAATTTGTTTATAATTTCGAGAACATTAACTTTTCGATCCATATTTATCAAGACTTTCTTCGATTTATCCAAAAGTTACGAATCCTTTTCCTCCATCATCCTATATAAAAATTTTACCTATAATTCTTCGTATCCTATTTCATAGCCTTCATTCCGTATATATAATTTGTTTATAACTTCATCGATCGAATATCAATATTTCAATCCATATTTCATCTCTTCGATTAGTTACCTTTTTTACTTTTTCGTCCCGTATAACAATAATTACTCGAGTATCCCGAAATCCTCCATTTATCGACGAAGTCGTGGCCTGCGAGCAGAGATACCGAAATAAATCGTGGCGAACAAAGCAGGCCTCGATGAATTTTCGCCATACGTGTCCCAAGGACGGTGCAAAAAGTTGTTGTAGCGGATCGAAAAACATTCATGCCGATAGTTTCTCTTGCCAATCATTTCGCGGCGGTGCGACGGCCTCTCCACCGATGGTTTCTCCCCTTTCCTTCTTCGAGCTTTTTCCTTGTAGAGAAACGAGAGAATCGCTGCCTCATCGATATTCGATGCTTTTGACACAGCCGTTTTGCCCTTCCCTCCCCATTGTTTCCTACCAATGGCGCGATAAATTTCTTCGCGAACGTTCTTCGCGTCTCTCTCTCTCTCTCTCTCTCTCTCTCTCTCTCTCTCTCACGAGAGAGGATCTCGAGCAGTGAAATTGCAGACAATCGCGAGATAGAAACGTAAGTTGAAATTTTATCAACGCGATACTTGTTTATATTTTGTGTAATCGCGTCATGGAAGATGATTCTTCTTTGATTTTCAATCGTTTTCGAAACGAGTCTCGAAGTTCGAATGTAATTTAGCGATTAGGAGCAGGAATGCAGGAGACAACAGAAGGAGAATAGATTTTTTGTTGAGAACAGTTTGGAATGAATTCATTACTTTTTTTAGAATATTGTTTGGAATAATTGTATATTGTTGGCAGATTTAACGTAAGTGGAGTTTAAAGATTAATGAAGATAGAACTTTTTTGCCATTATTTACTATAAACTGCTATAAAACTGAAATTTTTTATTCCTTTCCATTTTAAAATTTAAATATTATTTTAATACAAATTATTATGTGTTTAGTAGTGTTATTTTATTTCTCTCAACTCAATTAACAATAATTTAGACTTTTGTTAAATTAAAGTTTATCTTTTCTAATTCAAATTTTTATTACTGATATCTTTATAATTTGAAGTAATTATATTATATCTTATCAATAATTGATTATTTAATTAATTATTTTCTTTAGCATTAATATTATTTGAATTAATCAAAAATAAAAAATGAATCTTTTTATCTTTTTAAGCCCTTGAACATAATTTTTTCATTCATAATTTTCATCTTTTTTTAAGAAATCATTGTTAAAATAGATATCTGTACTAAAAAAATTATGAGAGAAAAATCATCCCTTAAATTTTGAGACAATTTATACTGTCCAATTTAGAAGAAAAGCAATATCTATTAAATAATTAATTTTATATATTAATTTTTTTTAACAAAATATAAAAAGTTCGTTTTACATTTTTCTGCAATTACTACGTTTATAATTATCATATTTACTTCATTTACAAAATTTGACAGAAAAATTAAGAAAAAAAAATTAATAGTTTATAAATTTATTTATATTTATTTTTTCGAAATGAATAAGTTGAAATTAGAAATAACAAATGAAGTAAGGATGAAGAATATAAAATTTCTTAACTTTTGTCAATAAATATACACGTACACGTTTAAGGGATTAAATACATTTTAAAGATTCATCTAATAATTCTTTCATCGAACGTTACTCTTTTTACGATATTTTAAAATAACTCTCTTGGGTAGTTTTTAGCTTTAACTTCCTTTTAATCTTTCATTCAATACTGTTCTACAAAAGATGGAAAAATGTGGAACGGCGGGAGACAGCGGTTAAATCGCGTTAAAACTTCCAAGAATCGTTGGATCTTTACATAGAAGAAAAGAGTTTTCCAAGTTTTACTAATTTTTAATGTGAAAGTTACACGTTCAAAAATAGTAGAACGAGAAAGCAATATCTTTATGATAGATCAAATATTTATAAATTTATATCAAATTCAATACAAAAGATTCCTTTATATAGGATTCCAATAATACATATTATTTATAAGATATAATAATTGATCGAATCAATAAGATGGATCATCTTCTTTAATCTATCTTGACTTTTATGTCTCTTAGAAATTGTTCTTTTTTATAATACATATAAAAATTTCGATAGTTATTTCATTTTTAAAAATTATTAAAAACAGAAAAAGTAATTTTAAATCTATTTCGATTAATTACGATCAAAAGTACTTTATTTTAATTTTCAAAGCACTTGTAGACGGTTGTTTCATTCGAGATTCGAGTCTACTTGAAAGTAATGTTCCTTTTTTTTTTTTCGAGATATTTATAGAGGATGCGGATCCAGTCCATTAATGTACGAACTTACTTGCAATATATGTACTTGATCCCATCACCAACTTTTACCCCTTATATGTGCGTGGTTTGTTCTATTTTCACATTAAAGTATTTTTAGAAATATCGACTTGTAAGTACTTGCACATATATTAAACTTTATCGAATTTAATGATTATGCGAATGTTAGATATGTTAATTTTTTTTCGTTGGACGAATAAAAAAATTTCGCAACAACGGGGAAGATAATTGCTCAAGTGTTGAGTAACTTTTCCTAATTTTTACTGACGATATCGCTTCAGTCAAATTTCTCTTTTAAAAAATTTCATTTTATCGTTAAAGAAGATATTAATACTTGAGTTTGAAAAAAAAAAACAACAATTTATTTTTATTTTTATTATTCGTTTCTCATGAAATGTTTGATATAAAACGTTTTATATATTTATCGATTATTACTCCTCCACGGGAAAATGTTTAATATAAAATGCGAGAAGAGTTGTGGTCGATTTCTTTATAGCTACATATATGAAACAAATATCATACTTTGAAATGTGACTTTCAAAAAGGATATTGCTTTAGTGCAAATAAGTCTTCGGTTGACAGTAATAATCGGCCATTAATGCAATAACCAGATATAGAGTACTTAGACGAAGGTTTTTATTTTTTTTTTTATTTGAATTTCACGATCATGTATATTATTATATATGATATTGTATATGTATAAATATATGATTAAACGTGATATATATTTCTCCAAATGATAAATTTTTGACATTAAGTGAATTAAATGAATAATTCATATTGAATAAATTTTAAAGTCACGTCACACTTTATTTTTGCAACATTGGCAAATTAGCATAATATATTTTTATAAATTAAAAATTATAAAAAGTACATTAGATTTTCGAACTCCTCTAATTCAATTATAATTTTAGCGATAAAATTAAAGTTTTTAGAAAATTAAAATTAAACATTTACCAATAAAAAATTGAATTTTTTATTATTATTATAATTATTATTATAATTTATATTATTATAATTATATATTATATTTATAATTATTTAATCTGATGATTTTGATTCGATCAAAATTTTTCAATATCATTGCGCAAAAGAGAATTCGAAGAAAGGGAAAAAAGAATCATGGAAAAAATATAGGAAAGAAAGTTATAATCCATGAATCGAGAAAAATCGCTGACTTATATACTTAACTTAATAAAAAAGTTATATTACTTAATCTCTGATTTCGATTTCAAAGATGTGCATTGAAAAGAAGAAGAAGAAGAAAAAGAAAATTCGAAGAAAGGGAAAAAATTGAAAATTGGAAAGGAAATTATAGAGAAAATAATGAAAAGAAAGTTTTTTTAATCCAATATAAACTGGAAATTGAGAAAAGTAACTAACCTATTCATTTATCAACAAAAAATTGCAGATTTCAAATCTATCGTAAAATCGAAACGAAATTGTATTTGGAAAGAAAAAGAAAGAGGGTTCGAGAAAAAAATTGGATAGAGTATCATAGAAATAATATTAAAAAAATATATTCAGCGTGAATTAAAACAAATCACTCTACACACTTACCAACAAAAAATTTGCATTTACCGATATCATTTAATCCCCTTTAATTCTGATTTCAAACTTGCGTAGCATTTTACCGAAAAAAAAAAAGACAGAAAAAAAGAAGAAGAAAAAGAAAAAAAGAAAATTCGAAGAAGAAAAAAATGTAAAGAATATCAGAGAGAAAATATTGAAAAGGATATATAACGCGGCGTGAACCGCGAATGCGTGAAAATAATCTTTATCCTTTCGGCGGGGATCCGGTTCGGAAGCTGAACCGGAATCCAGGAACGGGGAAGGGGATGAAAACGGGGATGGGGATGCGCATGTACGCGACAGGGGAGCGGAATAAACTCCGTGCGGACGCGCTCACATCGCGGCGCACAGTCTTCCCGATAGCACACGTCCGTACGCAGCTCCCTCCCTCGCTAAAAACCTTCGACTCGACTTCGGCTTACTCGACTTCTCACTGATCCACCGCTCTTTTCCACCAACTTTCCACTCTCGTTACACTTACGTCTCGAGACATGGCAACCGGTTGAATACGCGCGGTTCAACGTTCCTTTCGGTGCTTTCGTCGTATTCGTACACGACGAATTCGACTCGTCTCGGGTATTAACGCGGCACATGTTATTGAAATCGAGGATCGTGCCGCGTCTCGCGAGTGAACGTAGCCTGGCGTAGCAGGGCGCGTCTGTACCGACTGTTTCGTGGGGGATTACGATCGAAGGAAAGATTTCAGTTCTGGTGGATCTCGTGCTGCGCTGGGCAGCCAAAATGTCATTCTTCAGGGGGTTGTGGAAGAGCAGCTCGAAACATAAGAGTAAGCTTTCTTTGTTTTTTTTGTACTATTTTTTGCACGTTTTTTCGAGCGCTTGGTATTTTTTCTTTTTTTTTTTTTTTAAAGTATCGAGGATAAAGAGGTGGATTTTTATTTCGATCGTTTGTGTCGAGGTTTGCGAGAACGAATGTAAATACGATTGGAAACTCTTCTTTTTTTTTTTTTTTTTTTCTTTTTGGAAGGATGGCTTTTTGAACGTGAGAAAAATACGTTTGCGAGGTTTTGGAATATTTCTGATGTATCGGATGATTTGAAATATCGAATTTTTTGAAATATTTGATATGAATAATAAAAACTGTATATATCGTATCGAGAATGGATTATTATGTAAAATAGAGGCATGAATAATATTTTTACGATTTAAGATTTACATGACTGCGAATTTTTAGATAGAAAGATAGTCAAATATTGGAATAGTATGTAAAAAATATGTTGTATTATTTAAAAATTTTGAGAAATTATATCGTACATATATATTTATTTAAGAATTAAACGATCGATTAATTGTTGTTTTTTTTAATTTTTGAATTTGTGAAATCAAGTAACTTGATTGATATTACTTTCGATAAAGTTAGTTAGATGTCGAAATTCTTCTATTGAGAATTTCATCATTTCATTGCGCAAAAGAAGAGAACAGAGAATTCGAAGAAAAGGAAAAAAATCATGAAAAAAATATAGGAAAGAAAGTTATAATCCATGAATCGAGAAAAATCGCTGACTTATATACTTAAGTTAATAAAAAAATATCACATATTCAAGATTATGTATATTATTATTACATTATGTACAACAATATTTTTTTCACAATTTTTTGATAAATAATAAAAATATTCTTGTTTAAGAAAAATAATTTATAGATTAAAAAAGAAAAAAATCATTCTACATTGCAACAATTTTTTTTAATTTTTAAATTTGCTTCAATATTGTATTAGGATCTCTTCCTTTTATAGATGTATCGTATAAAATTTTGTATGATTCTCGATATAATGTCCATGATTCGTATTCAATTTTAATACGATTAAATTTGTTTATAATATTTAATTATCATTGAAAATAAAATTAATACGAAAAGAAAAATATTTATATCATTTAGGTAAAATATGGAACATATTACGAAATTTTTTTATATTTGCATAAAAATCCACAATCTTATCTAAATAATTCACATTTTTAATCTTTTAATTGGAAAAATGTATTATATAAAAAATGTATTATATAATAACGAAAAAGATAGTAAGCAAATTTTTGAAATATTTTTCCAATTATACATATATTATAATAATATTAAATTGCAGATGAAATGATGAAATTCTTAATAGAAGAATTTCGACATCTAACTAACTTTATCGAAAGTAATATCAATCAAATTACTTGATTTCACAAATTCAAAAATTAAAAAAAAAAAAAAAACAAATTAATCGATCGTTTAATCCTAAAATATAATCTTTTCAAAAGATTTATAAATGTAAATTGCAATTTTTTATTATTATTGTATTTAATATTATATTTAATATTATATTTATAATATAATATATAGAGTATTCAAATTCGATATAATTCATTCACAACACTCAATTTCTTCTTTAGTTGGATAAAATAATATTCAAGCTTTAAATTTTGATCATGCATCAAATATTATTTAATGGTACATTATATTCACTTAATTTTAAATAATTTTTCAGACTACTATATATGTTAAAACATATGATACAATTATATATATTGTTTAGAAAAAAAATTAAAAATGAACAATTTATTAAACAATAAATTTCACCAACTTCAAAAGACAAAATTATAAATTGATAAACTTTTTTTTGTTTCTATCTCAATTCATTTCTGATCACAATAATTCATTTCTCAATAATTTCTATTGATATTATTTAAATTATGTAATTTTTATTGATATTACTTAAATATATAACGCAGATATTAAAGTCAACGGTCACGATAAAGCTCGGCGTTATCGATATAAATAGACAAATCACGTTTAATGTCGTATGTTTTATTTTATTGCGATAATCATAGAATATGCGTAAAATATCTTTAATGGAATTTCTAGATTATTAGAGTTCTCATCTTTGTTTAGAAATTCCAAGAGCGAGAGATTACTCGAAGAAGAGATTGTTCGAACTTTGTGAAAATTATATTTATATTCCTATCAAATGAATTATCTCGTTTTTGTGATAATTTTATGTGATATCATTGAACGAAAAAATCGGAAGTCAACCGATTTGCTATAGAATTGCATCTTATTCACTTAATAACGATAATATTAATAATAATAATAATAATAATAATAATAATAATAATAATAATAATAATAATAATAATAATAATAATAATACTATTACTACTACTACTACTACTACTACTACTACTACTACTAATAATAATAATAAACTTTAATCTTCCATATTTAATAGTTGGTCAAATATGCGTAAAATTAATTTACGATAGTAAATTTTTATTTTCTTTAAGACGTATTTTTAGATTTTTTTTTACTTTTCATTGTAAGATTTTTCTCTTTTTATAACACATTATAGATTCGATGTTATTTGATGAACACATAAAACGATGTTTATAATATATATACGTAATATATAATATATATACGTAATATATATATACGTAATATATATACGTAAACGAGCAAATTAAGAATTTTCATGAAATTATAAATTATAAATTTAATAAAATTATTATTTAAAATATATAAAATTTTAACAATTTAAATATCACAATAAATGGGAAGAAAGAATTTCATCCTTACACGTTCAATGTACATTCAATATCAATTTCTTCTTCTTCTTCTTCTTCAAATTTCTAAAAGAACGAAATTGTATTCAATTATCCAGATACAATGTATGCACACAACGCGTGTATCCAGTTATTATGATTATTATATAGTGCTCTTTAAACCCTCCTTAAACTTATCGTTTCCATGAAAACAATTTTTCCAAATTGATCCAATTAACCACCGTTCTCTCAGACGGGCGATCGAAATTGCGTAATCGAAATTCGGACGTGATTATCGACGAAATTGCATTTTCTTGTGGCTGGTGGGCAAGAGAAAGCTTATTTATCAGGAGTTATTAGTTGACCTGATGATTAACGGTAACATTGTGCACAGCTGCAAAATGTCGAGAAGCGATAACAAAATGTGTGTGTGTATGTGTGTATATGTGTGTGAGAGAGAGAGAGAGAGAGAGAGAGAGAGAGAGAGAGAGAGAGAGAGAGAGAGGAGAGGCAGCAGTTAACGCGATTATTCGCAATAAGCGGCGTAATAGAGAGCCAGCGTTTAAGATTATGGTAATGCATACCGGTTCGTGTTATAGGCGCAATGTGACCTTCTTCAGAGCACTGATTATTGATCATAAAATTTGCATAATCTCGTGGCACAGGCCGCATCTCGATGCGGCGATCAAAGAATGCGCGTTCATGCTCAATTTACAGCCGAGATCTCTTTTATTCGTGTGTCATCATCCAGCGGATATCGATTTTTATCGGCTGATGATTTTTGAAAAAAAATAAAAACCATTTTTTCCACCGGTTTAAGCGAAAATTTAGAGTTATTATTATAACTAATATATATATATAGCGTTCAATTATTATTGGAGAGGTATTGAAGTGTCATTCGTGGAAATCGATGTAATGGCTTATGAAAGCCATTCGAATGCTTGTAAATGAAACTATTAAATCGAATCGTCGATCGGATTATTCTTGACTCGTATCTGAATTACGGATATTAAATGTCGTTTATATTGCCAGAAATATGGGTAAAAAGTGACTTAGTTAATATTAAAAATATGTTAATGTATGCTACAGTGAAATACGAATATTGAAGTATTTATACAGATAAGAGATGATTCTAAAGTGAATCGAAAATATAAAATTTCTTTTATTTCGTTTTTTGAGAAAAACAAGTTTGACGAATTTTTAAGCGAAATTGGCAATTTCAAAATGACAAAAAAATGTAGAATAACATTTTTTCATTTAAACATTTTTTGCGAAAATTGAATTTGAAAATTCAATTACACGATTCTTTGATTTTTGCATTCAATATTTTGATTTTTTCAAAAAGATAATTATATATAATTATATATAATTATATATATATATAAAATAATTAGTGGATAATTCATTGATGTCTAATCGAAAAATAATTAATTTTCTAATTGTTTGAAAATTTTTCTTCCTTTGAATTTCCTTTATTCGAAAGCGAAATCACTTCAAAATCACGTTCTATTCACGATTGTATCTATCAATTGCAGGATAACTTATACAAAGTTTCTTTGAAGAAAGGTGAATTATTTTAAAAAAGATGGAATGGTGCTTTAAAGTTTTGATATTTCTTTATCAATATTTTTTAAAGTACAACGTTGGCACGAGGTTTATTAAATTTTAAATTTATAAATTCTTCAACTTTTAACGTTCTATTGCTCTGTTATAAAAGATTTTATTAAAGGAACGAAAACTTTAAAGTTACATTTCATCCTCTCAAAGTGATTTTTCGCTCAAAAAGAAGTTGCTCGTGTATATACACACTCTAATCCATCACTTGCTTTTATTGTTCGTATGCTTTACATACGCACAAACTTTCATTAAAATTAGGATTTTCAGATTTAGGTGAATTTTCTTGTAAAGTAATGAACGAATACTTTCGTGGGCTACTTTATGTACACATAAATTTTAACAACTTCAGCCATTTAATATTTCAACCCCTTCTACTTGGCTTTTCCCCTATCCAATTTTTATTTTCTTTTAGAAATGTAGTGTCAATCGGATGATATATAAACTTTTTTAACTTTTCTCAATGTCAATAATTTTATTATTTTATGTCAAATTAGATTATAAATAAAAAGTATGTAAAAATTGTCCCAATAAATAAAAATATTCATTATATGTGTGTTCCACCATAAGAATTGAAAGGAAAAATATTTTATAATGAAACTATTATTCTTTTTATTTATATTTGCTACATT